CTGATAGCGACTTGAACCCTGTTTGGCACAAGTGAACCAGTGCTGATCTCGTCTGCTCGCCGATAGGTTTTCTCTCAGACTCTCCGCCGCGCCGCCGCCCAGAGCGCCGGTGCCTACCGCTCCCCTTTCGCTCCCAAGTGAGAATCCCCGATATCCCATCTTCTGTCGACATACGAATACACAAGGTGTCCATGCTGGCTTGGGTTGAGTCAACGAGGCAGGTTCCCTGCTGCTAGCTCTGGGTACTGCGGTTTGCCTTTGGCAGAACTATCCATACTGCTGCCATACCCTGCCTCTGACGAGTTGACAAGATTCAGCTAGAGAGGCACCAATCCAGCCGGGACTGCAAGTGGTATAAGGAAGCGACGTACTGACTGTGTGGAATAGGTACCACACTCCCCTTCACTTCCACGGCCTCACCACCGGCCTGGCTACCAAGTAGTAAGTTCCTCCTTAGGTTCCAAGACTACCCCTCGTCTTTGGCTTCCTGGCAGGTCAGCTTACACGTTGGGCACATCTAGCGCTACCATTGCTGGCACCTTCGGTGTCGCCGCCGGTACCTTCGCCCTCTTCTTCTTCGGCGAGATCCCCCGTGTTCGTCGCGACATCCTCCAGAAGGTTCCTTTCCTCGATGAGTACTTCGACCGCACGATCGCCCCCGAGGACAACGTAAGTGCCTTTCCCTCATTTCACTCCAGCGGCACCAGCAACTGGGATGGAGAGCTATGCTAACAATCGTCTAGCCCTTCTAAATTGGTGCCGTATGGGATATGCTTTTCCGACCATCTAAAACAACCCACCCAGCGTGGATATGCTTCCTAGCGGATGGATGGTGAGAAAAAGAGGGTGCTGTACGTGTAGAATAGCGATGAGTTTCTGATAGCACATAGACACTGGCTGCTTCATTCATTTTTCCAGTAACATTAAGACGCACTGTTTGTCTGTGTCTACGTCAGACTGCCAATGGCTCTCCAGGGGCACATGCATGCCTTGTAGCCTCAGGTTCCGAACATATCTCCCGCCCCAGGCACATTAGGCTTCTTCCTTTACTCCTCCCCCCAATCACAGCCTTGATATTTACGTCTACACATGCACAATTTTGGGCCTATGGTCTGAGTTCAAACGTAAGCCTCAAGTCTTCCATCACTGGACCACTCAGGGCTAGTCATTCCATCTCTGGCACCGGACTACAGGAACGCATTACAGCACCGTTCGAGTGCTGCGCAGCGCAGTTTCAGGTTGACTATCGCTGATAATTGAATAGTCACAATTTCAGTCCCTCAAGCCACCATGGACCTTCGCGAAAATGTATGAACGATGTGGCTTGAAAGGATTTGGAGGCTGCCATTCGCGAGAACTCCCTAGATGAAAGACCAGTGAGGAGACTGGTATCAAATGCAAGGTAATAGTGGCTCCCGTGGTGTCCATGCAAGTTGTATGCGGGGGCTAATACAGGAGTCTATGCTTCGTCTAGGGACCCACGACTAACATGCACTATGTAGACACACCTATAGCTACGGTGAGACGTTGAAAATGAACCAAATTATCCCCGCTACTCTCGTAAAGGCAGGTATAGCCTGCCAAATCAGTGGAGAGCGACTCGTTTAGTACCAGCCAATTGTTTCTTACATTGACAGGTCATAAATCCAGCCAGCTCCAGATGCTGCCGTCCGTCTTATCATCGACCCGTTAGAAACACTTTGATATTCGTTCGATGCTTATCATCCGGCAGTCAAAGCACCCAATAGCCAACCAGTTGCTTCCGATAAGCCCGAGTGGATGGATTCCCCAGCTTCTGGGTCATTGCTTTAGCGTCAAGTTCAAGGGGTTCTCCGAGTTTTGTCTTCGCTCGCGGCGCCTGCAGTTTCCCAGCCAAGTATGGTGCATGCCAAGCTTCAGGTCTCTGACCCAGCAAGGAGCTGCATCCTATCTCGTCTCGTCTTTAGCGAGTCATCCTACTCGTTCCTGCTGGTTGACTGCAAGTGACAGTCTTTCCTTCCGGTCATCCAGTGAGATCGTGACCAGCTGCCAAGCGTATCAGCGCTCGATCCCCGCTTCGCTTGCACCCAGCTTCAGAGGTACCTGAGCTCCTTAAGGTGTTTATCGTGTTACGCCAGCATTCCACCTATCTTACTCAAGGCTTTGGCTATCAGTATTAAGACTTTGCAGGACGGGACGTGTCTTGTGCAGATAAGATGGCAGTCTTGATTTTCCGAAAGCCACTCATATATGTACTGGCGCATGATCCTGTCTGTCCCGCAGCCACTCTATGACTTATTTTCTAATCACCTGTGTCTTCCATACTTATACTGCTTGACATTTGTCTGAGAAGAACAAATGAAAGTTTGACTTTGAGCTAGCAAACGCCGCATCTTTGCGTTGCTTGCTTTTTCTTCCGTCCACGTTACTTCCTGCCCCGCCGTTCCCACTCCCCAGCAGCAGCTTATTGTATACACATCACCCCTTTTATATATGAATGATTCATCCATAATGTCTGGTACGAGCAGCCATAAGGCTGTATCCAAGGGAGCAGTGTTCGCGGATGTCGACCATGACCCCGTCACGACCATTCTGCCTCAGGGCGACGTCCCTTATACCGATCATGCGATGGATGCGGACGAGAGGGTCATCGTGGCCCTGGGGTACAAGCAAGAATTCAAACGCGAATTCTCGCTATGGACAACATTCTGTGTCAGCTTTTCGGTGCTAGGATTGCTTCCATCATTTGCAAGCACGATATACTACGGTAGCTGTTCCTGGATTCATCAATATGATGGGTAGGGCTGACTTTCACAAGGAATGGGCTATGCAGGTACAGCTGGTATGGTCTGGGGCTGGATCATCGCGATGGTTTTCATTCAATGCGTTGCCATGTCCATGGCTGAGCTATGTTCCGCGATGCCCACCAGGTAAGATTGTCCTGAGTTGCATACTATAGGAGTATAAAACTGACTTTGACAGTGGTGGCCTTTACTACGCCGCAGCGGTCCTTGCGCCTCCAAAGTATGGACCTTTTGCCGCTTGGATCACAGGATGGTCGAACTGGATTGGGCAGATCACCGCAGCACCATCTGTGGATTACGCGCTTTCTGCAATGATCCTCGCCGCTGCGTCGATGCAGAACCCAGACTATGTCCCCACTAACTGGCAAGTTTATCTCCTAACAGTGCTCGTTCTCATAATCCATACGGCCATCAGCAGCATGCCCACTATATGGGTGGCTCGAGTCAATTCCTGGGGCTCAACATTCAACGTCATCGCCCTCGTCATTACTCTCATCGCCATTCCTGCTGGGACTACGAATGAGCCCAAGTTTTCCTCGTCCAAGGACGTCTGGGGCACCATCACCAACCTCACCGACTTTCCCGATGGTGTTGCCGTTCTGATGACTTTTGTCGGAGTCATTTGGACCATGTCTGGCTACGACTCGCCCTTCCATCTAAGCGAGGAATGCTCCAATGCCAATGTCGCCTCGCCGCGTGCGATCGTAATGACCTCAGGGGCTGGTGGCTTACTGGGATGGTTCTTGCAGTTAGTCGTCGCTTACACTGTCACCGACATTGATGGAGTCATAAATTCGGACTTGGGCCAGCCCTGGGCCTCGTACTTGCTCCAGGTCGTGCCACGCAAGACTGCCCTGGCCATATTAGCCCTCACCATCATCAGCGGTTTCTCCATGGGCCAAGGCTGCATGGTGGCTGCCTCACGAGTAACCTACGCCTACGCACGAGATGACTGCTTCCCTTTATCCAAATACTGGAAAATGGTCAACACGCGCACCCAAACCCCGGTCAATGCGGTGATCCTCAATGGCGTCCTGGGAATGCTCATGTGTCTGCTGGTTCTAGCCGGCGATACAGCCATCGGGGCGTTGTTCTCCATTGGCGGCATCGCTCAGTTTGTCGCTTTTGCCATTCCCATCGCGATTCGGGTGTTCTTCGTTGGTCACCGGTTTCGTAAAGGTCCGTGGCATCTGGGCCCCTTTGGGCCCTGGATTGGAGGAATTGGTGTGGTGTTTGTGCTTCTCATGGTGCCCGTGCTGTGTCTGCCTAGTGTCACGGGTTCTGATCTGACACCGGATCTGATGAACTGGACGTGTCTGGTCTGGGGAGCGCCAATGCTGGGGGTGACTATCTGGTGGGTTGTGGATGCGCACAAGTGGTTCACGGGACCAAAGGTCAATGTGGAGCACGCAATCCACGCTGCGGATGCGGCTGTTATAGATGGCGTGGGAGCAGATGAAGACGTAGTGCAAGATGATGCGTTGAGCAAGGCATCTGCGAGGTAGTTGCCTCACTACACTGTTCAGGTTACGTTCGTTCTAATGTTTGGCTACAGTCGTCCACCGACGCCGCATACAGTTTTGTAAATAATTCGACATTGCGTCAATATACTGCTAAATTAGTATTATATCTCTGATCTCGTACGATCTAACGTATCCCAGTCGAAACAATTACCCATTATTTTGGTAAGAGCATTACGTCGGCTGAGACAGAAACTTTCCTTGCACTACTGCCTTGAGTAAAGGTTGTCTGTTGTCTGTGGTGCAATGGGAGAAGATCGCTGTTCCCTCATATTCAGCAAACCAATTCTCTTCTCCACAGCGAGGATCCACCCGCATTTAGGCCATAGAAGCCTCATATAGAATCAGCCCTATTTATGGACCCTATCAGGGAACTAGTTTGGCTTCCGTGAGGGTCTCCAAACATTTGCGGTTGTTACCATAGTTTAGACGTGTCTGCGAAACAGGGAGCAGGGAAGTGCCGACAACTCATTGGCAGAGCAATATAGCTTCAAGTATTTATACCTCAATAGTTATATCCCACATCCAACATGGCATTCCGAGACTCTCGCTTCTAGGCTACTTCTCGCTATCTATAGACTCACCATGTCACAACTCCTACTATTCACATTTCGCAAACTCCTCAACACCTTCATCTACACCGCGAGGAACGATCCACTACTCGCCAACGCCCATGGACTCTTCCAAGAGAGTCCTACCGAACCACCCCAACATGTGCTAGAATTGACCTTGACCCTTCTAGGAATGTCCCTCAACTTCATAGTAAGCAACCCGATCCCCACCCCTCGCGAAGGAGCACAACCTAACAAGTACCCATCACCACATCTAGATCCGCTATATCATCGGCAACCTTGTAATGTCCCTCCTCATTCTCGAGACCATCGATAGCAACCCTCCCAACCCCAACAAGGACAAGGACAAGGACGACAACAAGAAATCACAACCAAAGCCTACCACCCGCAACCTCCTCCAAACCCTCACCACCCTCCACCACAAGAACGGAGTTACATCCCTCATCAACGGCTTCCATTACACCATCTACTACAACCTGAGGTACTTTATAGTCACAGGCATGCTCACATCGCCTATCGCACGCTTCCCTGGGCCTCTCGCACACATCATCGCCTCCGTCGCTCTCGCCGAATTCCATTACTTCCGGACAGCCGGAGCTATCCTCCCTCCCGCTGAGCAGATGCGCTACGTACCTCTTGGTCTTGATTATTATCGGTGGAATGCTCTTCTCCTGCCGACGCTGCTTTATGCTATTGCTGAGTCGATCATGATGTATGTGCCGGGACTACTTCTTGCCCCGGTTCGTTTTGATGGGGTACTGCTGCAGCTGCAGCCGGAGGACTTGACGGATGTTACTTCCCTCGTGAGATCTGATATTCTTGTCGCGGGACTTATGCTCGTTGCTCAGATTCTGATTTTGTTCCCGGCGTATATTGTGCTTGTTGTGGTGGAGGGGAGTTTGGTACCCGGGGATTGTGAGACGTTGATCACTTTGCCGGAGGAGGTGCAGCAGGATGAGAAGATGGGGGATGGTGATGATCAGATCGTTTTGTGGGAGGAGAAGGAGGAGGAGGAGGAGTGCCCAAAGCAGCAAGGCAGGCTCATCAAAGACCTCTTCAGGTTACCGGGACCATTGCATGTGCTTGATGTGGTGGAGATGATTAGTGTGAGACAGTTGCTGTATTGTTTGGAGTTGCATGGGAAGATGTGTTTGTGTGTGGTGGGGGTTGCTGCGGTGGTGCAGTCGATGATATATTTGGTGTCGTAGGAGGTTGATTCTGCTTAGTCCGGGTTGTCTGTCTATGGTTTAGTTAGTATGGGTGGATTATGGTTTTGGGTTGGTTCTGGATATTGAATTTGTGAACAGCAAGCCCTTTCGGCCATTACATGCGTAATTTCAAGACACCGCAGTATTGGGATCTCGTGAGAGGGCATGAGGGTACAAAAAGAAGGAGAGTGGTTGAGAGTTTAGACACATTGCTGATAGATGGCATTATGCAATAGAAAAGGAAAGCTGCATGGGATTTTCTTTCCCTTCACTGAGAATCTATATACTATGTGACTTGCCTAGATACTGCCTATCATTACTCTGGCGGCCTATGAGGAATATGCATTGCTCTGCGTATAATAAGACTAGGACAATTCTCGTGATTTCCCCTCTCTTTTTTATTATCAATCATATCAGCTGCACTTTCTATACCCGACCAATCAGTTGAGAAACAGCAGTAGTAGCTAATAAAAAATAATTAAGAGTGATTATTTATATGACTAGTGGTGGAGTGTTGCAGAGCTTTCAGCGGCGTCTAATGATGGTGCTACGAATATATACTGTCGCTACTAGGCTCTAAAAAAAATGAGTTATGAACCACATCAAGAGTAACAGGGATACATTTGTTAGTCTTTTTTTCGGTTGAATAATGCAATACGAAGATAATATTCTCTCGAGAAGGATCTCAGTTGTATACTACTATGAGTATTACCAGTAGTTCAATTGCAGTGTGTACTTATATCATGATATTGAGGTGAAACCCACTCAACCCTAACATACTATATATAACTACTTAGTACCATCCAATGAATCCAGCAATCTTTAGAATCACTCACTGCATCTATCATCTTAACCATAATAATCTGACATCACTATGCCATTCGAAATTATCCTTCCCATAACAATCACTCAACCGTGGTATCCAAGTATTCCACCCCCCATAGTATGTATCTACCTACTCTGTACTGTAGTCACACCACATAACACCATACCACACTTAGCAATAGCACCACTTAAACCTAAGTTAAACTCCATTAGCAAGCATAATCCCTACTGTACTACCTACTTACCCGATCCACACCCACACACACATACACGCCAGCCGCGCGACCACAAAACCCCATCCATCCATCCATCCGTCCATCTCCACTACGCCTTCCCCCCCCCCGGCGGTTCGAACGAATGATTTTCCCGTCTTTGTCTCTTGCCCTGCAACCTTTGACGCGGGATTTCGCGAGCGTGCGGGCCAGAGGGTCATTAAATTTCCTGCAGGTACGCAGGTTGCAGTAGTATGTGTCTTAACTACTGTCTATTTAGTATCTATGGAGTGGATGGATGGATAGGTAGTGGGTAGTAGGGCTGGGATGTATCCATTCAGTTTTATCTATCTGTCTATCTATCTGTCTAGTTAAGTCTATGTATCTATTCAAAGTGTTTCAAAAATTACATGGTCGTTTGTATGTAGTTTCATAGCAGAACTGGCTTCATTGGTTGGTTGGTACCTTTGTCAGTATTCACTTAGGTAGGTAGGTAGGTAGTAAGTAGTTGATAGCCCATGATATTTTGTTTTTTTTATTATATAATTTATATGTTATTTTTCTATACGTAGGCAATGGTCTTCACCGACTTTTTACAACTTATTTATTTTCAGGGGATGCTGAGAAGTTGCTAACTATGTAGCAGGCAAAGTCGTTGCCTATCGTAAGTATCGGCAAAATGTCCCAGTGGTGTGTAAAATTACTGCCGACAATTTTTGTCGAGCATTCTTGGGTGAACTGTCTAGCTCTAATTCTTCAGCAGGTTGGCTGGTATGCTCTTTCGTCGGATGTTAACCCGTGTTGGGATGGACTTGCATTGACTATTTGGTGTAGCTTGTAACTTTATCTTTGCTTGAGACCCAAAGTCAGCGCCGAGAGAAAAGGAAGAGCACGAGTGGTAACTCCGTAGTTAGTAGGTAAATTTGAGTAGCGGGCTGAGGTGGGTTTGGGCTGGGGGGGAGATTGATTGACAGGGGGAAGAAGGAAGAGAGGGGAGGTTGGTGGTGCTTGGCAATGAGAGTCCGTTATTCCGGTGTCCCGCCTGAGGCAGGCCCTCTAAACTCGCTAGTTGGTTAGTGGGTTAGTTGGTTGATTGCCTGGGGCTGACCCTCTTGTTGCGGTATTATTTTGCTTTTTGCATTATCATTTCTTGTGCCTCGGCAGCCGATGATGATAATATCGTTGTTCGCTGCTGTTGCTGTTGCTTTCTTTAGCGAGGTTAACCTTAGTGGTAATCATAGAATGACAAAATTGATGCTATAATAATAATAATAATAACAATAATAACAACAACAACAACAATAATAATAATAAAAAATAACAATCGACATCTAAAGGAAGGATAAATCAGCTTACCTCTCAAATTTTACCGTCTCTTCCCTATCTCAGACCGTGGAAGATACCTATTGGGGAAAGTCACAACAATCCTTTCCAGCCTAGGAAGAAATTATAATCTGCCATATAGACTAGGCAGATAAACCTGGCTGTCTCACAATGAAATCCCAGTCCGCGTGGCTGCTTGTCGGCCTGTCGCCGGTGGCAAAAGTTTTATACACGACAACAGACAAGCGGGACGGACTCGCCTTTCTAACCCATACGGGGGTGGGAGAGGCCATCGAGTAGATCATGGATACCTCATCTCCAGGTTCTCCCCCTTTCCCCTCAGCGTCCCCTCCTCCTTTCCCTTAGTTCCTCCTCCATGCTCCGTAGTGCGGACATACCCCTGCAGCTTTAGTAAGAGGGGGTTCGTCGTTTATCTGATCACGCCTCAGGCAGCCACATACTCTATCTGAAATGGAAGTTGTATGGTGGGCTCCGGTGACGGCGTTACGCTCAACGAACTCAAATCCTACTAATCAGGCCATTCTCACCATAGCCACCCGGATTGCACTCCGGCTGCCCTGGTAGCATTTGATACGGTTGAACATATCACACTCGCCGGATCATACATGCGCGTCAAACCAGTCGGAAACATCATGACGCGGCCCTGGTAGATACATCCCGTATCCCAAGGACCCGCCATCGTATCATTCAGAGACCTCAACAGGGACCATGCGGTTTTGTTGCCATGGCCCATAGTCGGATCCAAGACCATGGTTCGATGGCTACCTTCGGATCGACGACCAGTGTCAGTGCCGCCCATGTCCGACTGGGTACATTGCTCGATCGAACGAGTCCTTCCCCCCCAGTTATGCATGACCCTAGTCTGGGTGGCTGGCGAATAGATAGAGTAACTGTTGCAAGCGCCAACGATGCCCGTCAAGTGTGGGATAGCCTGTAGCTGCAATAACATCCCAATTAACTAATTACTAGCTGCGCTTACACTCCTGCCAACTCGGGCAATAGTATGCTTGTGATCTTGTACGTTAATAGCCATTGTTTTGTGTGGTCCCAATTTTAAGACATACTCCTAAGCGAGCCGGTGTAGATGTTTCGAAGGATGTGTAGTATCTACCCAGCCACCTACTGGGTAACTAGAGAAGTATCTGATCGAATAGGAAAAAGTAATGATGGCGGCGGCAGCAGAAGCGACAGCACTCCGGGCGGGAGAGCGGGAGAGAGGACGAGCGGGCTGGCTGGCTGACTCGCAGCGTCAGGCACATGACCATGATTACCTCACCCATGCGATCCAGATCAAGCGCTAACTGCTCTGTACAGTGTACACTCCCAGTCAGAGTAGGTTACTTTGTCACTAACTCAAACAGGCGAGCGATGAGGGGAGAGGGGAAGAGCCTAAGCAGCTCAGGCTCAGGCCACACAGCACGCAATACACACAATACACACACCGAACAACAACCAACAAAATGTTGCATCGCAAGAGCGTCCGGTCCGCTTGGCATCAAGTGGAATGAGGTGAGTGGCGTTCTCGCCTCGCTCAACATTTTCGCTGTGATTGGATCGCACGCGAGGTCTGAAACTGAGCCGATCCAGACTTGAGCTTCGGCATTACTCCGGTCATGCCCGGAAAAACCACCCTGGCAGGGTAAAAGTGCCGAGGAAGTATCCGGCCGACTCTGAGCGTCCCGGATTCGGCGGGAAGATCTGCATGCGGTCGTTTTGAGTTCTTTTCTGCTCTGTAGGACCCGTAGGGATGCTTTTCGTCGAGGGGCTAAGGACTTTAGCGCTGCTGGACTAGTCCACGTACGGAGTTTAGTGGCATTATATCACTATTATGTTATTTTCACGGCGCCTGTTGGTTTTCATTGTTCAGAGATTGGACTCGGACCAGCCACGCTGCGCGCTTGTGCCTGCTTATCCCTGCCACGTAGATAGTACGGAGTACACGGTAGAGATTCTATCGATCTGTTGTGGTGAATGTACTTTCGAGGTTGCACACAGTCCTTTTGTTGAGGGCGGCGGTGTCCCGTAGGATCTATATATGGAACTCGACGCAATTTGATGTAGGTACGTGTCGGTACGAAGTAATCGACATCACATATACTAGGCGCTTGGCTACTATTGCAGCCGGGTAGAACTCCGTACCCAGTAGCAGTGAATACCAAGCCCGAATAGTTCCTTTCGTGCCTGACACAGTATGGTGGGCGGAGAATGGCGGACAGCATTATGCCTACCTACTGTGTACTCCCTGGTCCAACTAGTCCGCAAGTGTCTCACAAGCGAGGCCAAGCTTTAGGACGATAGCAGACTGGCGGCGATCGGTCGGACAATTTCTCGTTGAGCCATGCCGTTAAGCACCTGGTTTAATCTCTGGCTATGCGCTGCCTAAGGACCAACAGCGTCTAGTGCGCCTTCTCTCGTACGACAGCCAGTGTGTGGACTGGGTCTTTCTCGAGATCTCCCACACCGCCTTGCTTGGTGTCTCCGTAGAAGTTTCCATGAGCGGGCCATCGGCTTCGTTGGTGGAGTCCGGTGGCCGTGATCGGACCGCCACATTGGGCGAGGTGCAGGGTAGTACCGGGAGGCTACCACTGGATGCATCATGTTGGTCTTACCGTGTCCGGGAAGGCGTCTCGCAGTGGTGCTGACCGGCGTGAGAACTGCGGGCGCCTGTTCCTTGGAACGCCAGCGTAAGTGGCAAGTCGGGCGAGATGTTGCAGAACCATCATCCACCGGCTTAAGAGCAAGCGCTAGTCTAGCTGATTATTATTTGTAGTTGAGCGATATGTCCGATCGCTAAGGCGAGGATAAGGACCGACAACTCCTAAGAACATGACAGACAAATAATGAATTTAGTATGGGGAGTATACCAGGTTAGCTGTGCGAATTCCATCCAGCCGAGCGCAGATTGCAAGATTACTTAGTTTTCGTTCCGCACACATTAGTAATGATGATACCGGGTTGGTAAGATAGTCGGTAGGTATTGGATGGTACGGGGGGTGTATGACGGCATGTTTCCTTCACGCTCCCGTAGTGCTCCGTGGCCACGAGCGCGAGGCACTCATCCGAATGTAGTTAATGTTATCCCTTTTGAAAAGAAAAGAAGGCAAAATAGGCTTCCGCATTTGCAAGCTGACGGAACTCTCCTCCGCGCAATTCCGCCATGCATCGTCAATTTCGCTTTTCACAGTACGACTGCATACTGGACTGTGCGTACTGCAGTAAGCCTCTTCTGAGTTGGTGAATCGCTGCATGCTGTGTGACCCCTGCCGGGTGGTCAGATCAGATAGCTCCGGATATAATACGGAGAAGCAAGTGCAGCGATTCCACTCGCCCGCCTAAGCCAGAGGTCAAGGTCCACAATCGAAGCGGGAGAAGCTCCCAGCGAAAATCTCCTGGTGGAGAACAGCCGCAGTCTTGAAGTCTAAAAGAGGGACCCATCATGAAGAAGAATCGTTGATCTGAGGAATGATTTGTAGCTTAAAAGCCATAAAAATCGAATCGTCCTGTTCGCTGCTCTGATGTCCCCTTCCGGAACTCGAGATTGAACGCCAGCAGCGATTGCAGGAATGAGTTGATTATGATCCATCATACCTCCGGTCGAAAGTGGCAAGGATACGCAGCGCCGAACCACGGGTTACGCCTGGAAAATGTGGTATCACTCGGCCCTCCGAAATCACAATTTCCAAGGCGTAATCAAGCTGTTAGGGGTGGCACACTGGCATGGATGGAACAAGGTGCATGGCCTCCTCGACTTGCCAATTGGCCGGATTTCCTGCCACTCCCCGAAACGCAAAAGTACCACGCTTGCGGCCTGCAGTCTAGAAGCTCCATGCAGCCGGTATATACCTGAGGCGTTCAATCAATGGTCGGAGCCCTGCCGGTGGTGTGTGTCTTTGCGCTGAACATCACTTGTCCTGAAGCGTGGGATTTTCATTGCCAGGAGACTTGGGAGGGTAGCCTGAAAGATCTGAACGCCGAACCTGTAATCTCAGGATGTCTCAGGAGACACACACACACACACACACACATACCCTGCTTTGAAAGCCCGTCCAGCGCGGCTTACGCAAGTCCGAAATAATACCTAGTTCGCAAAAGCAAACCGAGCGCATGATATGAGTAATAGATGCAGGCTCAGCCGTTGAGTCGTTGCTTGTGACACCACCGTTAGACTAACTCCTGTCACTTCTCAATAGAGACCGTAGGAAGTAATTAATAGACAAAGATACAAATCAATGGGTAGCATAGTGCTATGGCTGCATGGGAGTTGTAGCCCGCGGCATCAGACACTTACAGATGTGAACCACTATCAACTCTAAAGAAAGGTACCTGACTGCTGCGGACAACCCGCAGTTGATATAAATACCGGTGATGGGGAAGTGCAGGATGGAAGGCCCCATAAGGATCCCCATCGGATGTCACACATTATGGAGTATTGATGGAGTATATACTTCTAGAATCGAGATTGACAGCCGTGGAGTAGAGTGGGCAACTCTACCATTGTTCCCAGCCGTGAAGCTCAGGTCCAAGCCAGGATGCCACTCCACTTCGAACAAAGATATCGCGTTGATAAGGTTTCCTGCCCCTACCTAACTCATGTGGGATTGTGGATGTGCCATGAGGACTGAGCGCCCCAAGGAGCCAATATCGAGCAAGCGGGCCTGTCAACTGCGGAGAAGGGATGCAGAACTCCTTCCGCCTCATGACATCAAGCATACTACAAAGTAGAAGACCCCTTCTGTCTCCAACATGATGAGAGATCCCAGAGTTCGTCGAGAGCTCTGCTGCACCCAGGCCAATATGATGCCTCGGTGATTTGTCCAAGCTTAAAAGGGCAGTCGAACGCGACCGGACGGAGCACTGCCTGCCCACTAACTAATTCCTACTAGTAGTAGTTTCGAGTATGTACCAAAACAGGGACGTTACTTACTGCTCTGTACTGGCGGTCGGCATGCATCTATGAAGTATGTAACTACAGAGATACTTACGAGATTCACTAAGCTTTCGAGACCAAAGCTCCGGCTTTACGCTTTGTCGGAAGCTCAATCTTACGGCGGGCATGCAGCAGTCTTTAGACCTCCCGCCCCTCCATGACTTCCCACCCCCTCATCGCCAGGAGAACTGATTTGCTATGTTGCTGCTGTATCTACATAGTACCTGCTACTCTTCTTTGTTCCTTTCACCCGGTCTGGTGCCTTGGTAGTCCATTTGAGTCATGAAGTTCGGCCCTGGCCCTTCTTCTCCCTGGGGCGTTCAAAACCAACAGGCGTAAAATTACGGTCTTCGTTGCGATGGGTTGTAACGATCGAGACGCGGACATCGAACTGTCCGACTCCGTTCTGCATAGTTCAGAATATTCCTTCCTCGACCATATTCTCATAACTACGTAGGCAAATAAAAGAGAATTAACTCTTCGTTATGCTTGACGCTTGGCCTAGAACAGTTCATGCGTTTCTCCGCTTGCGTCCGCGCAGTCTCTGGTGCGATGTGATTGGTAGGCTTTAGGGCCGGTAACAACAAGTTCCTGCCAGGTATCCTTCCCGTGGCTGTCCGCGGCCAGGATACGATCGAGTACATCGGGGTGGTCTGTCTTTCGGTACACGCCCGATGTGTCTCCCATTCAAACCAATCTGTGACACAGAGGAAGCCTGACCAAGAAATCCGAATAATTAAAATACATTATGCGATGGACGAACTAGCCAACCAGCATCGTCGATCGAAATAGCGCCTTCAACAATTTTCCCCTGCTTGCCGCTGGTGCCAACCAAAATCGACTTGTGCTCTGCTGAGGGCTTTCCTTACCCTTCCGGTATCTACATTTCGGAAAAGACTCTGATTGTTGAGCCGATCTTGCCGTCTCTTGGGCCGGCAGAAAGTTTACAGAACCGTTCCTCTTCTCGTGGTTTAGAATTCCCAGTGCCAAAGGCACTGCTGAAGTCTACCGAAGCACGCAGATCTTGGTTAACGTTTTCAACATCGTTGTACCCAAAAGGTAAAGCGACCAGGAGGAAACACAAAAGTAGGATAGTCTAGTTTACAGAGAAAATGCAGACCTTGTTCGGCTTTTGACTGGGTTTCGGAAACCGGACGAGGCACGAATCAGGTCAACGGCAACCAGTAACCGTCCCAAACGTTGGGTGCTGACTGAGTAGAAAACGATGCTAATAAAATCATAAAAATAACTAATATTTTCCGTATATTTTTTTAATAGCATTTTCCCTTTTTTTCCATATTTTCTTTTTTTACCTACATTTTTTTTTCTCTTCATCATTTACGGTTGTCGCCTCCCAGAGTTACGATCGTCACCGCCAATCCCCAGTTAACCTTCAATTAGTCGTGATTTCTTTCCCTCTTCCACTTTTTTTCCTTCTTTGCCTTTAGTAGTAGGTTAGTGTGTCAGTTTTCGCTCCTCCGATACTGACGATATTTTTTTTTTTTTTTTCCCTAACATATTTTTTAATTTTTTTTTCCTCCTTCACCCACTTAACTTTGTGCCGCCGCCGCCGTTCGTCGCCCCCCCTTCCACCCCCCCCCCTCCTCCTCCCTCCATTCCCGTGACTACCCTAGGGACGGCTACCTTGGGTGTTCCCTCTTGGAACAAATTTTCCTAAGCTTTTTTTTTTTATTCTATTTTATTTTATCATTCTTTTTCGTTTTCTTTTTTTGCCCTCTTGTTCTACCACCCCCCCTTACTTTTCACTCTTCCTTCGCCCTGTCTCCGCATCTATACGCGTTGTCCCTGGCAGTTGTGATCTTCCCATCAGAGTCATCCTGGTCAATTTCGCGCGCATTGTTGACGCGAAGCAAAAATTGGCTAGCGAAATTTCCCTCTAGCACTGCTGATTGTGTTAGACCCACTTACACGCCGCCTCCCTGGTGGATCAGAACCATTGACTGTTTTGACAACGTGCGGATAGTGAGAAGTTCCCACACAACTCGAGTTTCTGGTGGGTGACCGTGGGGAATTCAGATTAAGCATCTCGACCTCTTTCCTGACCTCTTTTCTGCAGTGGAGTCGAACTTGATCCTGCACGTCTATCGTCGACCTTGAGGATCCTTGAGCGTCGATTTGCTTATCGAACCTACCTCTTCCGCGAATCTCATCGTCAATTTTCCGCATCAGGTGGGAGGATTGTTCATTTGTCGGAACAAGCAAAGGAAAAAAAAAAGGAACCAGAAGTCACAATCGAAGAGAAGCGAGCACACAACTCCGGACTGGAGAATTTTGCGAGCGAAACGCGATCAGGATCTGAACAAGGTGGCATTGGCAGTCTTTTCGCATCCACGGAGCACTGCCTTGGTCGCAAGACACATCCTACGAAAAGGTTTTCTCGCCCTGCGATCAATGATCGAGATATCGTGAAATCTCCTTTCGCCAGTCTCTTACCCCAATTCTCTTCTCCTCCCTCCTTCCCCTCCCGTGTTTGAAAGCCTCTCCGCGTTCAAGATGGATCCCAGATCTCATCCTTCACGGCCCCATCCACCAGCCTACCCCAGGGTTCCACGCCATTGTCCTCGACACCCATCTCGAGCATGCCCATGCCTCAGTACACCATGCAGCCTCAGTACCCTGTGTCCCAGCCGCATACTCTCCCCCCGCTGCAGCCTCATCACAGTCAATCCCCTGCCCCTCACTCCTACATGGGCCAGCCGTACCGGCCGGATCTGTCGAGGTATCCCGCATCTACTCACGATGTCTACGCGTCTTCCGCGGCTCCTATCATGCCTCACACCACCGTGGGTAGCCTGCCTCCCTCCTCGTTCCTGTCCCACCCCAATCCGCAGGCTCAACCCCAGCCGTCGCAAGCCTACCATCCTCCTCATAGCGTGCTGCCTCCCGCGTCCAGCGCGCAGACCTATCCCCAGCCGATTGCGCCGGCGCCTCCGCGTGATCGTCGCTCGGACTTCTCCGGTCTTCCGTCAGGTGCTTTCAGCTACTCCGATAACAAGGGATCGCCTTGGATGAACCCCGACCCTGTTGCAGGTGCAAACGGTGCTCCCCCGTATGCTGCGAAGGAACCACCTAGGACCCAGGTTGTTGGGTCGCAGGGCCGCCGCGGAATTTTGCCGAGCGTTCCGGGACGCGCGACTCCCGTCACGAACGGTGTCAATGGTACCGCGAAGAACACTACTATTCCGGCCAAGGATGCGGATGGAAAGTTCCCTTGCCCGCACTGTAACAAGACCTATCTTCATGCGAAGCATCTGAAGCGCCATTTGCTCAGACGTGAGTGCCCCTCTTTCCATCTGGATAATATGATAGCGCATGGCGGGGATCGAACTGTTCCGATGACTAATCTATGTTTTTTTTTTTGGGTAGACACTGGAGACCGTCCGTACATGTGTGTGCTCTGCAAGGATACCTTCTCTCGCAGTGATATCCTCAAGCGCCACTTCCAGAAGTGCTCGTTGCGCCGCGGTAACCCTACTGGGGCGACTCACCTGTCGCACCCTCAGGCACACTTGAAGCGGTCTCAAGCTGCGCAAAACGCCGTTAAACCCGTTCAGGATGAAGTCAATACGACCGTCCCGCATCCCAACGGTATGCCGGGTGCTACGTATGGCGAGGCGCCCGTGAACGGCAATGGCATGGCTCCCGGTCGCCCCGGATATCCGGAACAGCAGCCTTTGGGATTCTCCATGCCTTCCGTCAATGGGATGAACCGCGGTCAGCCCGAAGACGCGTTCCCCGGCGGACAGCCTCACCAGCGTGGACCTTGGCTTGCTGCTCCCAAGCAGAACCCATACATGGTGCAGCCTGGCGCAGATGCAAATGGCCAGCAGCTGAATGTTGATCGTCCTCCTATTGAGCAGGTAAAGCCCCCGGTTGTTCAAGACCCTAAACGTCCTGTCATGCCTGGACCTCCCAATCACGCTGGCGAAATTGACTGGACTTCGATGTTTCAGCCCGGAGCGTCCGACGGTTACATCAATCCCGTCTTCCCCCAGACCATGGCGTCCGGCCAGGAGCCTATCCACGCTCACGTCGACACCGAACGCAAGTTTTACCCCACCACCACCGCTGGTCCCCAGGAGGGTGGGATGAATGGTCTCTACCTGGCTTCGACCACGCTGAGTGGCGACGGTAAGTGAAGGAGTCCCGGAACTCAACTCCTGCCCCTGCGTATGGATGACGGCATGCTAATCCCCGGATCCCAGGTACTGTCCAGCCTGCTAGGCAATAGTGGTGACTTGGAAGTGGATGTCTTGAGCTGACCACGTTGAGCTTGATGTGTATAACGTCAAGGGAGACGGAGCATTACGGCCATAACGAACGGTTACAAATTTGTCTTACTAACTGGGTTACGTTGTCAAACGATGTTATGCATCAGTCTAGCGATATCTTGCAATGCTAGTCATTTGTCTGGGAGTATCGATGGGGACGCTTCTCCGATCATGCTGATGATGCTCTTACATAAGGGTTTACATGCTATGCGGTTTGGCGCCTTATCAGTCTCCTGGATCATGCGCATGAACCCAGCCTGGAAAATCACATGAATGATTATCGAGGGTTATCCCTATAAAAGAAAAAAATATGAACCGGAAAATGGAAGGGAAGGGGAAAAAATACAGATAGAAAAAAGCTCGTTTCGGCCACCGACTCCGCGCAGCGCGCCACAGCGTTGGTCTAGATTACAGCATCCGGATCACTCATTGTTATGAAAAACGTCTTCTTTTGTCCTACTGGGTTATCTGGTCGTCCATTGTTTATTTGAAAAATCTTGTGAGCATTTTCTACGGCGAGTGCAGATTTGCGGTGATTCTGGACCTGTTTTGTTATGTTTCCATCCATTATGAGTGGGTTGATGGGATGGTGTGTGTGGTTTTTTAACTGGCGTCCAATCATAGACTTGGGCATGTGTTTGATTTTTGTTGCGTCAAGGGCTCTCTCATCTTAACGAGTCATCAAAAGATTTCTTGCGGGGAAGGCTTCCGTCCACTCTTCGTTTCGCGTTGCATGTTCCCTTTTCCTGTTCAAATTCGAGCTGCACGGAGGGTTGAGTGTGTTCGGGATCTGTTTGCATAACCGTCACGGCCGTTTCCTATCCGCATGTTGTCTTCCAGTCGACCCTGTAAGTACATACTGTGTGTCCGATGGAGGGCATACGAGGTCGAGCGAGGATGAAAGGTGTTGCGTCGTCTTGTGTTTACTATTTGCCTCCTGCGTTCCTATTCAATGTGTTTTTTGTGTCAATGTGCTTCGGTTTCCTTTCGTGTCTCATGCTTTATTCCTTGTTCTGTTTCTTTTTATCTCTTTCATTTGTGACCGAAAAAGGTAGCATGGTGCTTTTCGACTGCCCGATTTCCTACATTTTGCGGCTGGGTTGGCTGCAGATCCTGGCCGCAGTCAGGGACACTCCTGCTGTGTTGGAGCTTGTTTCATTCTTTTTTGTTACTCCGGACGGCGGTTGGTTGATCTGCCTGGATGCACACCCCTGGTCAGCCCCCAGATGTTCCATACGTCGGTTATGTACTTGTTCTATCCATTATGCCGCATGCATTTTCTTCTTGTATCTGGTCCTGGAGCCTGGAGGCCAGGGAGGCCGATTGAAAACCCCCTGCATCAGGCCTGGTGGAAGTCGTCACTTATGGGAAGCCACGGAATCCAAAAGCTAGAATATAGACAGCCAGTGATTCGGAGTTGAACGAGAAATAATAAGGGCCATATTTACATGACTTACAAATCAACCTGGGTGGGGGTGTAGTAGAGAAATAGCAGAGTACCACAAAGTACAGAGTAACTACTCAAGCAGTACTGAGGTAACTTAACTAGCTAAGTAGCTAATGAGAGAGCCTCACGGGATCGGGAGGGGACAAGGCCATGTGAACACCCCGTGACTGCCTGGAACTTGACTTTCCCGACCGAACAAGCCAACCTTTGGTCCGGGGCGGAGATGTCTGGAGATGATCCCGGGATTTCCCTACGGTGAGCGCTGGATGGTTAGTGCGATCGGGTAAGTCTTGTTGCAGGTGATTCGATTCTTGTTTTATTTCTTGTTCCGCATGTGCCAAAGTGTAGTAGGCCAATACTTTACTTGGGAAGAGAGAGTGTGTGTCTGTGGGGGTTAGATTGATAGAGCAGAAAGACATAGTAGCAAGCATGAGAGATAAGAGACTACTTAAGATTCCAAGTGATGAATGATTATTTCATCCCCTCCATTACCAGTAGATATAATGAACTAACTGATAGTATACAAGTACTTAATTAATAGACGTCACCGCCGAGGGGCTCCCCCGGATTGATATCCACCCCCGCTGATTGGCCGCCGTCCACGGGACTCCCCGGAGGTCCTCCAGTTTCAACTTCTGAATCTCCTCCGCCGCCGTTTCTCTCGTCATCGCCCATTCCCTCCTCCATCCTTCTGGCTCCGATCGTCCGCGCCCTCCTGCAGTCTCCTTCTGGTCCTGTCTGTGCTAGTGTACTCGTGTACTCTTGTACTCAGTCGCACTCCTCCATCCACACTCTCCTCTCAGACCCCCGTCTAGATCTCGTCTACTCCGCAACTCCGCGGCTACTATCGCCCCGATCTCGACCGACGACCACCGACACTAACTCTATATACAAGACGCACAATCCCCTCACTCCACCACTTCTCACATTCGGCAACCCATACCTTCTACACCAATATTAGCAAACACACCTGCGACCGACTACAGGCCCTAGTCCTATCCGACTAGCGTACCCCTGTCAGTCTAAAACTACTCACCCCATCTCTATACTCTCACCGTGGCTCCCCCCCTCGCCACCATGTCCACCAACCGGCCATTCCTGGCCAACTTCCTAGCGGCCTTTCGCGCCCAGTCCACATACAAAGCCTCAGCAGCAGGTTCACAATCCGCGACCGCTGGTCCATCCTCCTCTCTCTCCTCCACCCAAATCTCCCAAGGCGCACGAGCCATAGCCACCAAGGCCAGCAGCGGCAACGCAGCCGCTTCCTCATCCGATGCCTCTCCATCCACCACTACCCATCACTACCACCATCATTCCACCACAAGCGCTTCATCCTCCTCCCACTCCCGTCCTCACTCTCACCAGCGATCTCCATTGAACCAGCCCGAATCTTCCCCAGCATCCCCGGCCCCACCTCAGACCCAGCAGGTCGCTTCTTCTCCACCTACCCCGGCCGCGTCAAACCCCATCCCGATTACAAACAGCCAAGGCCGTCAGCGTCGCGGCAGCGACAGCTCAAGTGGCTCGGGAGGGTTCCGCGATGCGCTGGGTCCGGAGAAGTGGTATATCGGAGGTCGAACGCCTGGCGGGGAGGAGCGGTTCTACCGTTTAGGGATGGTGACGAAGGGCGGAGGTCGGCTCGGTGGAAGCGGTAGAGTGGGAAGCATTGATCAGCTAAGTCTGTGATTGATTGATTAATTGATTTATTGATTCATGGTGTTTGGGGATATGAGCGTTTTGTGGAGTTTCTTTCCTTCATTTTTTTCTATTACCATTTAAACCCCCCATGATTAGGGGTTATTGGCGTCCAAGTAGGGCATTGGATGGCGTTATACCTTCCTTTCCTTTTCTTTCTTTCTTTCTTTTTTTTTTTTTTTTCCCTTATCCCTCCGGTGAATGGAATACAGACAAAAACCTTACCGCTTTCAACTTTCTTCGGGGTTTCGATTCTCTTATTATATGATTGATCCATTCCATTCTGGTGTTGATATGGATTCTTCTTTCTCCGCTCCGCTATGCTATGCTATGCTACGCTACGCTACATCCACACCGGTGTGTATCGGTGTGTATCTGGATTGAAGTTTGAACTGTACATGAAGACAATCCTTGTGCTGTGTGATGCTCGTCTTATCTCTTTCGATAAAAGGTGCAGTTGGTATGATTTGAGAGAAGATGGATGGATGAAATGAATGTTAGATCTGATCTGAAATCCGAATGTATCAATCAGCATATGACCGGCCTAGTTAGGTTTCCTACTAAAAGCAAACTTCCAACTTTACCCTCATACTCATTATCCAAAATCCAATCCCTATCTATCACCCTGATAGCTACTTCACCTACCTACTCAATCCCCAGCAAGCAACCTCTCCCTCTCCCCATCATCTCCATCCCCATCCCCAAACCTACTACCACCACAACAAGCATCCCCCCTCAACCCAACCCCCACCACCACCCCCGTCGCCGCACAAACCACCCCTAACCCCACAACCACAAACCCCCACCCAAACCTCCCCTCCACGAACCCAGCCAACGGCCCCAAACTCAGCCCTAGGAACTGCGCCATCGTCTGAATCCCGAACGCCTGGGCGACTGCGCCCCTGGGCCCGAAGATCCCCGGTTCCCGGCGCTCCATGGTATCCAACACACGCTGGGTCTCGAGGTACAGGGCCGGGGTGGCGATGTTGACGAGGAGGCCGGTCAAGGTGAGGTTGATCATTAGGAGGGTGATATGGGTGCTTGTGGGGTTGGTGGAGAGCGCGAGCATGCTGAGTGGGATGGGGAGGAGGAGGAAGGTTGTTGTTGCGATGGGGTGTGGGGTTATGGTGTCGGTTAGTTTTCCTGTTGGTTATAGAGGGATAGGGTTAGTGAGATGGGTGGTTTTGGGGTAAGGGGAATGGGGGGAGGGGTGTACCGAAGTAGGGCTCGAAGAGAGCGGTCATGGAGGAGGGGAGGAAGGTTAGGCCTGCGCCTAGGGGCGTCCAGTTGAAGTGGGATTCGACGAAGATGGGGATTGTCTGTTAGTTTTTAGTGGGTGAGTGGGTTGTTAGTTTGTGGTGTATGGATGGGGAAGTGGAGGGGGGGGGGGGGAAGGGGACGTACGGCGTCAAAGGCTGCGTATATCATGCCGTGGACGAGAAGACCCCATGATGATATAAGGATGCGGGGCTGTTGGATGAGGAGTAGGAGGGTGGGTTTGCGGGAGTGTTTGGGTATGATGGTTGCTTCGTTCTCTGTGGTTTCGGGTTGAGGTGTGCTTGATTCAGAGGGACTGTCGTGGTTGTTGGTTTCTTCATCGTCGGCGTCATCATCTTGCGATAAAGCCATCCACCGCTTCGCGACCCTCTTTTCGATCACTGCAAACCGCATCACCAGGTCTAATCCTACAATGGCAAACGCCATTGCAAATACGGGCTGATATCCTGCTACTCTGTACACCAGACCCCCCAGTAATGGACCTAGCAGGAACCCTAGGGTAACCGCTGACCCTAGGTATCCGACAGTCTGGCCGAGGTTCTCGAATGGGACGGAGTCGGTGAGGAGGGCGAGTCCAGCGACGACGACCATTGCGGTTGCGCTGCCTTGTAGGAGGCGTGCGATGACGAAGAAGCCGATGGTGCGTGCGAGACAGAGGATGAGCATAGATGCCCCGAGCAGAATGAGGCCGAGCAGGTAGGGGAGTTTGCGCGTGGGCGCGACATCGATCAAGTATCCAAAGATCGGGCAGCAGATGAATGCGACAGTGGCTTCGCATATGAGGAGAATGCTGACCCAGCGTTCGCCTGGTTTTGTATCAGATGGTATAGAGTAGGGTGGGTGTGGTGGTGGTGGACGTACGGTCTTCATAGGGTATTTTCGCGCGGTCGACTAGGGCTGTTGGCATGACGGGAACGATCTGGAGAGTTAACTGGCAATACAGGTGTGAGTATGGACGGTGCTCACCATAGCATAGAGGAAGTAGTCCTGCCGGTGTCAGCTACTGTGTCTTCTGAGTGTGATTGTCTGCATACCGTGAACGAAGAGGTCCAGACTGTCGCGATGATGAAGACTGTGGAGGAACGGTATTTGAGAAGCCATGGCGGGCGCTTCCTGCCCTCAGTTGTAAACCACATAGTATTCTCAGGATCGTCGACTTGATGTCCTTGTCTCAGCACGATTCAGCCGGATAGCTCTCATTGCTGAACCGTTGGACAATTGGCCGGGCCCGCGGTATCGGACAGGTCCGTAGCAGAGCGATTGAAGGTCAGTCGAGGGTCGAAACGGGATATGCTATATTGAGAAACTCAGCAGATCCCGATATTTCTTGCAATGATGGCAGACACCATCTTGAGCCTGGGATTTCATTGTTTGTTGAGTCGCGACATTCTTTCGAGTGGATGACGTCTGGGCAGTCACATGTCCAATACTTCCTCTACGTTGTTGTAGGGTTTCTTGGTAGTCTGGCTGTCATTCTTGCTCTTTCATGTAACCGCTGACGGCAGCATAGATGAATTCATCCCAATCAATCACTTTGGTTACATTACATTCATTCTAGCCAAGCAAATCCCCGGCAACCACAGCCGGGATTGCCTGATGTTTGCATAACCCCAGAGGTTACGAATCCCGGGGCGATAAGATAAAGGCGAGGGAGGCTGCGGCCGTCAAGTCCCGCGGGCTTCGGAGGTGGCCGATACGCTGCCATCTCCCCATCCCGACTGCTCCCTGGCTCCGGAGAAGTCTTAAAAAGCTTCATCCTGCTGCCACAGGGGTTGTTGCCGTTGAAACTCCCAGTTCTGTGTTTATTGTCAATACCCTTCTTTGGTTGCTCATCTTCCTCTCCTCCCTACCCCATACCCACCATGTCTTCCCCAGTCACTGCGGCCCGCTACGGCAAGGACAATGTCCGAGTATACAAGGTCCACCGCGATGAGAAGACCGGCGTCCAGACAGTCGTGGAGATGACCGTCTGCGTCCTTTTGGAGGGTGAAATCGATACCTCG